TTTCCTAACATAGAATTTGTAACTTGTATATATACATACGAGATTGATGAATACATATAACAAATTCTTCTTCTTCCTCTGTTTACTCTTGTTTTACACTGCTCTACTACCCAATTAGTGAATAGTGATGGGTCTTGTTTCGAATGTTTTGAGTGGTCTTTGCTTGTGAGGTTCCATATTTGGATGGTCAAGTTGCATTTCATAAAGATGTGATCAATGGTCTCTAACTCTTCACCACACTTACATAAGCTTTAAGATCTCAAATAAACTCCATTTGTTCATTCCTACTAGAACTTGGAAAAATGAAAATTGTAGAACTGCCTCCATTGTAAGAAAACTCAATAACTCCTAATCTACCCAATGAATGATCAGAAATTTTAAGCATAGTTAAACTATGAATAGAAAAAATAAACTCTTGGGTTAGACCCATAAGTAAGTTTTGAAATGACCAAAATTTCCTATGAAGAGGTTTTGGCTATTTGTGTAGTTATTTGAGTCAGGAATTAGAAGCTAGTCAATCTTGTGAATTCTTTGCTAAGATTTAAGTTGATTTAGGATTAGAATTTTCTTTTCCAAAGAAAATGATTAGAATTTTTTGTTTTTCCTTTTATAACTAAGCATACGACTTAAATCCTTCATGTTTATAGTTGACAGTTCTTTTATCTTTCAGATTAATTTTCTTGGACTTTTTGGTCCTTTTACTTGGTCCCCTACAAATAGAATTCCTTCTTGTTGATTTCTCTCTGCACTCTGTAGTTATTTAATTAGGTCGGACCCATAGTTGCAATTGACAGAAGAATTTGGAGTTGTATTAATCAAGGTTCAAAGAATTGATACTCTTGATATGCCTTTTTTGTGTATCAAGAGTTTCTTTTGATGGAAACTATTTTTTGTTTTTTTACTTTTTGGTTTGATAGTATGACAGGGGGCCTGTCAGTCTGTCAAATCAATAAGTAATGTTTGAAATCATTCAAAGAATCCAACTCCTTTTACCCCGAGTATTGGTGACCCTGAAATCCAATACAATGCACCCCGTTTTGGATGCATCATATTGATACTTTGAACCTTGGTGTTAATTAGTCTTGTTAAAGCTTGATACCTGCTTTGTTCATTATGGGAAAACTGTGCCCATACAATGTTATTATGGTATTCTATTTGTTACTTTGCGATATTAGCTTATCTCTGCAGAAATCTGTGCCCATACAATGTTATTTAAAGATATGCCGAGATGTATATATGGTATTTCATGACTTTGCTTTTCTTTCTCAGAGCATAATAGAATGTGAAAAGTATTTCCATTATTTTCCATGTAACGCTTTGGTTGAAGCATACGACTGCTTGGACTTTGTGTGTGGTTTACATTTTAAGCTGATTTATTTATTGCAAAACAAATATTATGCTTTACTGTAGCTAGTGTAAGGGCATTATATAAGTTGACATAATATAATCAAATTTAACTTCTATGGCCTGCACCAAAACCAAGGCAAGTATCTGCTTTATAATAGTTTAGATATTTTAATTCACTATGTCATGTTCGTTAAAGTATCAAGAAATTATTTTGTCCATACATTATTGTCATGGATTTCTAGGCAGTTTTTCCTTGCATTGTTATTATGGTTGTTTTGCTCTCTTCATACCTCTACAGTTTTGTCATCTCAGAGAAAGTTGTCATACAGTACTGTATTTTGTTGAATATATTGTGGTAATATTGGGCAATGCGATATTGCAGTTTGTTGTGACAGCAACAGGCTCTGAGGCAGAGAAGGTTATCAATTCGAAAAGAACAACATGGCGATGTGCAGGATTAGGGAGGCTTCCAATATTTTATGCGGCAGATACTTTATCGTAAGTTGCTATTTGGTTTTTTAAACTTATTTGCTAGTGTAATTCTTTGCGAACAGTCATAACCATTATATAGAAATAAAAGGTCTACTAACAGGCAGTATGCAACTTCCCTACACAACCTACCCTAGTTCGGTTGGGCCAATCAAAACCGTCCACTGACTAGGGGTAGGGGACCCTGTGGATCAACCACTGTTTAATCCTCAGCCATGCATCAACCCTACACCCCACCTTGTATTGGAATTCGCATTGGCTCCCTGCATGCCCCATAGCACATCCCGATTGTGCATTGGGAACATCTCCTGTACTTGTCATGGGGAGATGTTCTCAATGCATGGTCAGATGTGCTGTGGTATGCATGTAGGGTGTTGGGGGAAGCCAATCCCAACTCCTTGTATTGGTGGTTTGCCCAACTAATATTAACCATCCGTGGTTAATTAATTAATATAAAATCTATCCATAAAAAGGGATGCTTTTGAATATGGAAAGGATCATAGTTGTCAAGGTGACGAGGAACTGTGTTTTCGTCTGTTGCCATTGTCTGAGATCGTGAGAGGGTGAGAGGGTGAAGCAAAGAGAGGGTTGCTGAGAGGGTGAGAGGGTGAGGAACTGAGATGGGAGATTTTGTGGAGGTAGGCCGTTGGAAAAAAGCTTTGAAGATTGAATCTAAGGAGCTCCTTTTTGAGGAACTGAGATTAAATGGTCAGCTGAGCTTGAAAATCAGGGAAGCAAAGAGAGGGATGGTGCTGTTAGAAGGGGTGGGGGTAATTGAAGG